AATTTTTTATTATTATTATTTTAGTTATAGTTGAACACAATATCTCCATTTCATTTATTTATTTTTATGTGGTGCTGAGGATCAAACCCATCGCCTGGGCAAGCGCCTTACTACTGAGCCATAACCCCAGCCCCAATAAATCACCATTCTTTAATTTGTACAGTAGCTACCCTTACTTAAAGGTAAAGGTGTGATCTGAATTTTGCCAGTACTTCTTCCTAATCAGTGAGTTTCAAAACTTAAAAAACAAACTCAAATGTAGTTCCCAGGACTGCAAGTTACTACAGATTCTCACTCTAAAAAATAAGGAATACAGCACAAACTTAAAAAGTAATGTGGAACAAAAATCCTTCAATATTCAAATGGGGAGATTCCATTCAATGAGTTATTTTAAAAACTACAGTACATCCGGGCCCAATGGAGCATGCCTGTAATCCCAACAACTGCCTGTATTCCCAGTGACTCCAGAGGCTGAGACAGGAGGATCCCAAGTTTAAGGCTAGCCTCAGCAATTTAGTTAAGCCCTAAGGAACTCAGCAAAACCCCTTTCTCAAAATTAAAAAAATAAATAAATTTTTTTAAAAAATGAAATGAAAGGGCTGGGGATGTACCTGAATGGTGAAGTGCCCTGAGTTCAATCCCCAGTACCAAAAAAAAAAAAAAAAGATGGTGCTGGGGATTGAACCCAGGGCCTTATACATGCTAGGCAAGCAATCTACCAACCAAGCTATATCCCCAGCCCCCCAGCCCCATAAATTAGTTTCTGARTCACAGAACCATCTCCCATTTCTGTAGTACTACTAAACTTTTCATAAAACATTGAGATCATACACTCAATAGACATGAACCTTAACTTAAAAGCCAGAGAAAAAAGTAATCACTAAGGTCTACTTAGTGCTCAGATACTGCATCAAGTAAACTCACTATTTAGTGGCAAACTGGGGAAATATATTTAAATAAACAAACTATTCTTAAATCTGTATATTAATGTTTCCTTAAAGCAAATTTACTGTTTTGTTTTTTTTAAAAAAATGACATCCCTCTCTAGAAAAGAAATGTAAACCTTAAGAGATACAACCCAGCAATAACATTTTCTGACCATGGCAACTGGGTATTAAAATTAAGGCATACCATTTGCCTAATAAATCCAGGTAAAGAAATCTACATCTTACTCAAAGCATCTCAGTTATTACTGAAGTATCAAAGTATTATCTGGGTATTATTGATGGGAGGTCTGGGGTTGTGACTCAGCAGTAGAAAGCGCCTAGCACATGAGGCCCTGGGTTCAATCCTCAGCACCACACAAAAATAAATAAAATAAAGGTATTGTGACCAACTACAACTAAAAAATAAATATTTAAAAAAAAAAAAAAAAAGGAATCAGGCTGGGATTATAGCTCAGTGGGAGAGTGCTTGCCTAGCAAGTGTATGGCACTGGGTTCAATCCTCAGCACTACATAAAAATAAAGGTATTGTCCATCTATAACTAAAAAATACATACATCTTTCTGAAAAAGAATTGATGATTTACTATATAATTATGCATACCATAACTCTAAAAATAGCTTGACAGAAAGTAGATTGATTTTTGTACCACACTCACTCATCCCCCCAAAGTGTGTGTGTGTGTGTGTGTGTATGTGTGTGTGTGTGTGTGTGTGTGTGTGTGTGTGTGTGTATATATATATATATATATATATATCTCCATTTAAAGTGATGAAAGCAATACCCAGGGCTGGGGTTGTGGCTCTGTGGTAGAGTGCTTGCCTTTAATATGTGAGGTACTGGGTTCAATCCTCAGCACCACATAAAAACAAATAAAAATAAAGATATTTTATCCATCTACAACTAAAACAATAATAAAAAAAGCAAGACCCCAAACAAAAGCCTGAAATGTTAAGTAACCAGAATTCTCTAGAAATTTACAGCCCCTTCTACATCAAAATAATATTTATTCATTTGAAATTACTATTAACCATTTTTTGGACTACAAATGTTTTAACATCTCCTAAATTATTAGATCCTAACCAGTTTAATTTTTGCTTGTCATCAGTCTATTTATATACTCTATGACCTAGTTGGGCACGATAACCTAAAATTTCTTCCAGGTTCAATACACTAAGATTTTTTTTTTTTTTTTAAACCGGGGATTGAACACCAAAGGGCTCAACCACATCCCCAGCCCTTTTTATTTTTTATTCTGAGTCAGGGTCTCACTAAATTGCTTAGGGCCTCGATAAATTGCTAAGGCTGGCCTCAAACTTACAATCCTCTGGAGCTGCTGGGATTACAGGCATGCACCATCTCTCCCAGTTAAAAATTAAGATTTTTAATTTAACAACTGAACACAATATTTTTCCTGTCTTGCTATAGAAAAATAAACATGTTAAAAGTATACATTTAGTGAAAAGCTTTCCTTTCTTCCCAATGCTTTAGTAATCTTTTGGCTTGTCCTTTAATTCAGACCCAAAGTCAAAAATTCAAACACTGATCTACTGATACTTTATTAGGCATGTACTGCAAGTATCCTGGTCAAGAAAAATAAAAATACTGACCAACTACTTTTATAAAGAATTTCTGGGCTACGATAAATCATGTAGCACAAAATGAAAAATTGTAAAAGCACGGGCAAAATGACATGGAAGTTTCTAAACCAAGGTACCACTCAATGAGCTAGGATGCATTTGGTTCTGCAGCCAAATCCTAAACTGGCTTAAAATTATTATGTGATGTAAGATTTTCCTTAGGTTGATCATGCCCTGCCTAGATAAAAAACTAAAAAATCCAAAAAGTTTTGAGTCCTTAGAAAAACTGAGACACTTAGACAGTTCTCATTGTGACATCAGTCAATTTCGATTTTTTTTGCCCTGTATTATTAGTTCTAAGACAATAAACTATCAGAAAATTCCAGATGATAAAGCAAAAATACACATTGTGCAGAAGAAGGCTTAAAAGTGAAATAATTGAAATTAACAAAATTAATCCATAACATGCCCAACATTTCACTGGGTCCAATCTTTTAAAACAGGAAACAAAAATCACTAAAAATTACCTATTGAAATTCCCAGATGATTAGTATCCTTGGTACAAAAAAGAAACAGATGTCGTCCTGTAAATTTTTACCTGAACACCAAAAGAAATCAGACCTAAGTTTTTGAGTCTGACTACCTATAGGAGTATAGTTTGACAGGCTTTTTCTAGAAAATAGTCTGCCTATTGCCAGGCAAGGTTGTACAGCCAGGAGTGGTGGCACATGCCTATAATCCCAGTGGCTTTGGAGGCTGAGACAGAATGATCAAGAGTTCAAAGCCAGCCTCAGCAGTGGTAAGTTGCTAAGCAACTCAGTAAGACCCTGTCTCTAAATAAAATACAAAATAGGGCTGGGGATGTGGCTTGGTGGTTGAGTACCTCCCAGTTCAATCCCTGGTACCAAAAAAAAAAAAAAAAAAAATTCTGTTACCTTTCAAACTCTAAACCACTATAAAATTAATAAGTAGTTTTTACTTCACAATGCTTAGAAGTTCCATATCAAATACATAAATTTAAGAAATTATGATGCACGTCTGTAATCCCCATGGTTTGGGAGGCTGAGGCAGGAGAATTTAAGTTCAAAGCTACCCTCAGCAACTTATTGAGACCTAAGCAACTTAATGAGACCCTGTCTCTAAATAAAAACTAAAAAAAAAAAGGACTGGGGATGTGATTCAGAGGTAAGTGCCACAGGGTTCAATACCTGGTACCACAAAAAAAAAAAAAAAACAAAGAAAGAAAGAAAGAAATTACTATGGTCTTAAAGAACTTGTCAGTTTTTAAGTTTACTTCCATATGCTGTGTTAACTTTCTTTCACGCTTGATATGGCCTTGGTCAGTTGGAAACTGACATTCAAAAGATTAAGTATTAACATGAAGTTTCAAGATCATGCAGGTACTTTCCTATCCTATTTCAGCTTGGTCCACTGTCTTGGCAAAAAGAATATGGGTAATGGCATTTTTCATGTACACCGTAGATTATAACTTTTCCTTCAATGAAATTCTGCTTCTATCAATAGTCTGTGTTCACTCCCCTGTGAGCGCAACAGTCAAAGCAAGGTGTTACAAATGTCAAGCAACAAGTAACCCAGTGTTTAAACCTAGAATACACTTGTCCATCAGAATGACATGTCATTATTTAAAAGGAAAACCTCCCTAGGGTGTTAAAAAAAAGGGAAGCATTAGTAATTCCTTTGAATTCTTGGAAAAGTTTAACTTAAAAATCTTTTATAATAAGATTAAGGCGATGATAACATTACAATTCTCAAAGCACTAACACAATTTTGCATGGCTGTTGTAGAGTAAATGAATTAAAGTCATTCTTTTTAATCAACATTCAGATTACTGCCAGCTACCATATGTCTTAAAGAGCATTAGGTAGAGCAATAGCAAAAACATAACTATATCTTAATAGTCCCAAAGCATAAATTCCAAAGGAGCAAAGACAGTCTTCACAATTACTTTTTACTAAATGCCTGTGAAGCCAACAAGTAAGATATATTCAAAGGAACAAGGTCCCTTTTATTCTAAAAAAACAACCTGGTCTCAGGAATGAAAACACCACCTCTAACATAAGGACTTCAAACACAAGAGCAGGTCATCCCTACAGAGGCTCTGATGAAACTGAAATGCACAGGGCAAGAAGACTCGGTACTTTCCTAATTCAAAAACTTCCCTATTAATTCCAAGTTTCCAGCCAGACAGTTAACCAATAACAAGGAAATCATATATTTATACTGACTTTCACCTCCTGTCTATTAACAAACTCCTATATCAAAAATTTTTACCTTTTTAAACACCTAGGTCCATGCTTCACATTCTCCCAATTTCAACTAACTCCTTTCCAAAGTTGGCCTCACCTCTCCACTCAAAACAGAATTACACGTAAAGGGTGAACTCGATAAACTGGCTGAACAGAGCCAAGTTTGGGATCCAAGGGCCGTAAAAATAAAGAAGTAGGTGGGGCTTTACCTGCAGTTCACACCAGGCGACTTCCACAGTGGTTTCAGTGTCCAGACCTTTGTAGACTGTCTTAAAGGAGCCTCTGCCGATTTCGATGTCAAACTTGAGAAAGCGGCCGTCATTGGACATTCCCACGGCCTTGGTCTCCAGCTCTTCGATATCATCCTGTAGCTGTCTCTGTTCTTCCTGCAGCTCCTTGGCGCTGCTACCACCGCTACCACTTCCACTTCTCGCCGGTGGTGGCTCCTCTTTGCTCCCCACGAGGTTGGGTTGGGAAACTGGGCGGTCTTTGCTGGTACTGCTTGGGGCAGTCGAGGTGACAGGGCCCGCGACAGCTTGTTCTCCAGGGGCAGCAGTGACTGGGGGCTGCTGGGCCACCTGGGAAACGGCGGTAGCAGTCAAGATCTCCTCCCGGTGGGGCTCTGATGGAGCAATCTGTGGAACAACCGCGGGGACGCCGGGCTGGGGAATCGAGAAAGGGAGGCCAGGCAGCTCCAACGCAGTAGCATTAGAGTCGCAGATGACGCTCCGTCGGAAGAAGCGGTGCTCGGTGGTGGTAGTGGTGGCGGCCGCCCCACGGCTGTCCTTGTCCATAGTGTGGCGGCGGCGCCGGTACTCCTCGGTCCTACCAGTTCCAGCATCGGTCGCCGCGGCCCCCAGTTTCTCGCCCACAGAGGAATCAGAGCTGGAGCCATTCTTGGGGGCTGGCGCCGGCGGCGAAAGAAACAGAGAGCTCGGAGTGCTGCTCTGCTTCTCTGCGGCGCCGCCAGACATGGTTGGTCCGCTGGGTGAGGCGAGCCGGCCCGTAGGAGAATGAAAAGAGGAAGAAGGGCCCACCCGCAGGAGCCGCGAAGGTCTGCAGGGCACCGCTCCTACAGCGGGTTCCGAGCGACCCGGACCGGACGACTCCCCACTCAACACTGACAAGGAGCCTCGAAGGCGACACGGGACTCTGGGCCCAGCTGCGGCGGCTGCTGCTGGCACCGAAGCTGCTGCGGCTCACGAGGCGGGCTCGTCGGCGGGAGATTCAGGAGCAGAGCCACTGGGGTTAGCGCCGCACGGTCCGCATCCATCCTGCGGCGCGCGGCGGCCGGCAGGGCTGTGGCAGCAGAGGAGCCGCAGTCATGAGGGGCAGGGCGAGGGGAGCAGGCACCCAGGCGAGGCGAGGTGAGGTGAAGTGAGGCGAGGCGGATGCTGCGGATGCGACGACCGCTCAGGTCCCGCCGCTCGCCGAGCAGGGCGGGCTAGGCCCTGAGGGCGGCGGCACCGCGCGGAAGGGACAAGCTCAGACGCCCGGGCGGTGGCAGCCCCAGGGCACCGGGGTGGGAGGGGCAGAGCAGGGCGAGGGAGGGCCGCGGCCCGGGCTCCGGTCACTCGGCAGCCGCCTCCTGCCGCACGCGCCCCCAGCGAGGGGACCAGTCTCACAGAAAGCCCATCGCCCAGATGCCGAGAGCCGAAGCTTCGAAGCCTCGGCGCCTGAGGAGCGGGCCCCCCCTTCCCCGAGGCCTCCCCGCCCGCCCCGGGCCTGGCGAACCCTCGTCCCCTCCCGGGCCGGTGCCGGGGGCTGACGGAGGGAGGGAACGGTGGGGAGGGGAGGGCCGCTCACCGCGGGCCCGAGCTCCGCTGCTTCTCTGGGCCAAGAGTAGAGGAGACCGAGAAGACTGGGAGAAGGGGATAGGAAGAGAAAAGAACAGTCACCCCCACCAGGCGCCTCTGTCACCGAAGATGGGGGTACGAGTGGCCGAAGAAGAACAGCAGCGTCCGCCGGGAAACTCTCCGCGCTAAATGGCGCCGGAGTCTGAAGCCTCCACACAACCCGCTCGGACCCCGCCCCCCGCCGCCCGGGGCGGCCCCACCCCCACCGTGCCCAGGGCTCTCGCGCAGGCGTTCCAGTCCTGAGGCGCCCTGGGACGTGTAGTTGCAAGCGAGAGACGCCAGAGAGACTGAGGCAAAAGGCGCCTACGACTTCCGTAATACCCTGCGGCTGCTTTAGCCTGATGGCTCCTGGGAGTTGTAGTTTTCTTTGGAAACTGCCTCTTCTGGAAGCCTGACGGGAGAGTCATCGTGGGTCGTCACCACCCTATCCTAAAGTCAGCGTTCGCTAGGAAAAGCATTATTTAGGAACAAATTGTTAAAAGAAGGGAAGAAGAATAAAGAAGAGGGATGGAGAACAAGAGGAGAGGCTCCCATCTTTCTCTGCTATAAGAGAGCTTTTAGGCTTTCCGTGCAATGAAAAATTATCTGTTGTTCATCTTTAATGGAAAGAGACTCAGTAGTGTTGAGTGACCAGGGGTGGAGGGGTGGAGGGGAAGGGCAAAGGAGGATAACTAGAGCCTGAGCTAGTGGAGAAGAGGGGTCAACGACCCATAGAAAACTTTCCGAAGGTTACACATGAGATTAATATTAAGTAAATTAATTAGGGAAGAAGACAGGAAGAATTATCTTCCATCCTCTCTCCTCCACAGCAATTAAGGCCGCATTCTCAGCTCCAACCCCCAAACGGATATTCAAATGGGCTCTCTTATGATCCAGGATCATAGTGAACTCTGCTTTCCTGAAAAAGAATGAACGGGACTGGTGCGGGGGCGGGGAATGGGCTCGAAGAAGATAAAAGTCCATGTATCCTCGTGTCTGGTCTACAAACTTGAAAGGGCTGAGTTGACTTCTGCCTCTGTAGTTGGTTGAAACTTATTTTTCAGCTTTCTTTTACCTAGGGACTTGGTATATCTATCTATCTATCTATCCACCCCCTCTCGAGCTGCACGAATGTACATATGTAATTTATGCCAAGGCAATGGACTCAGGAAATCTGGATCCATACGGTTCACAGTAAATGGAATGCTTTTCCTCAAAGCATCCTTGCACTCCTTGGACCCCTTTGCTCCTTGCAACTACCCAAGGTTGTGCAGGTGCTGAGCACCAGGGGGCACCAGACAGAGTAGAAAACCAGACTTGTGAGCCAGATGGCAGTTGAAGTTTTAGCCCAGCCGGTAAGAGCGGGAAGCGCTTAAACGTACGCAACCGCATCAGAGCGTGGATGCGCTGCTGCTTCTCGTCAGCGCCCGCTATGGAGCGAGCTCAGAAACGCACAGGTAGCTGCGGACCACGCTGAGAAAGTAGTTTCGAAGCAGCTAGGTAGAAAATTCGTTAGCACAATTTATCTAGATGATCTCCACTCTGAGGATTGTTGCTGTACAATTCATATTATTCAGCAAAGTATATAAAAAATGTTCTGCTATTTTTTTTCTTTTTGGTTTTCCAAAAGCTACACTTTCAGGTTTACAAAAAAAAGTTTGTTTTAAAACAATGGTTGTTGGTAGCTTTCATGAATATGCTGGTTATGGACATTTTACAATGCAAATTCAGTAGAGACAACCAGAGTACAAAAATATGTGAGTTACCATTTTAGAAACTAAATCTTTCATTTGATATGCTAATGGTAAGTCTTTTATGTAGTTAATGGTTATCCCCAATCATAACCTAATATAAGCAAGGGAAGAAATGACTGTCAAGTACACTTGTTGTACTTCTTGAAGCTGCTTCTTAGAACTTGCTCAATTGTTGCTTTAATGGGAAAAAGTCAGCTTATAATATAAGGCAACTAATTAAAAACTGGTGAGTTAAAAGGAGATCAGTTAATCACACTGTTCACTTTTTGCCTCCATTAAAAAAAAATAGGATGTTTCTGTGTAAGTGGTTATTAAAAGATTTTATTGCCTATTCCTGTTTACTGAGCCCTGAAACTTTGGTCACACTGCATTAAACACAAGTCCCTTAACAATCACCATGCCCCATCAACATGACTTTTCAACCAGGAACACCTAAATTTATCGTAAATAATTGAATTAATTGTTGACTTAAAACCACATTTGCCCACATGACAGCTTTTCCTACTTGTGTAATGTTAGCTTTACTATGAAAAAGATACAATTTTGAGTATAATCATATTGTGTACATTGGTTAGATTTAAAGGTTATACTGTGTATTGTGATTTTTTACTTTAAACACTTATTTGTTCAGTTTCCTTTTTAATGCTTACCAGCCTCCAAGTAATATGATACTTTTCTGTTATTCATTACTATAATCCCTAATAGTATTTTTCCTTTCTGTTATTTCAATTATCATGTAAAGAAACTTCTCTATCATCCATATAAAGCATCATGTGAAAGAGTAAGAGGTAGCAGAAACAACCCAAAGGATATAGTGAATGCACTAGATGATATAGTGAATGCAGAGGCTTGATATTATGACTTTTGGATGCATAAAAACACAAGTATTTTATTCTCTCTCATCATGGTCTTTATTCGCTCTCAAGTTTTTGTTCATTTTGATGTTTTTACTTTCCATGCATTCACATTTGATTTTTATGTGGTCCCTGCCACTGGTAACTAGCTAGCAACAAAAGTCAGTAACAGCTTTGATTTAAGACGTCTAAAATACCCTGAACAAGCCAAGTATGGTGGCACATGCCTGTAATCCCAAGAGCCTGAGAAGCTGAGGCAGGAGACTCACAAGTTCAAAGTCAGCCTCAGAAATTTAGCTAGGCCCTAAGCAACTTGTCAAAATAAAAACAAGAAAGGGCAGGGGATGTGGCTCAGTGGTTAAGTGACACTGGCACCAATAAATAAATAAATAAATAAATAAATAAATAAATAAATAAATAAATAAATCCAGAAATAAATTTTTACTATGTTGAGATGATGAGATAGGGAACAGAAACAGAACCATGTGACTGTATGAGAATATCATATATTAGAAAAATAGCATTTCAAGTCTATAAAGCAAGATAATAAATAATTATTCACTTGAAAAACAAATTTGATCAGTATCAACCTCACACCATTTACAAATTAATTTCCAAATGGATTAAAGAGCTGAACATTTTTAAAAAGCTAAAAAAATTTTTTTAAATATAGACTATGGGATAGGATAGAGCTTCAAAGCATAGGGCCATAAAGAAAAATATTTGAGCTGGGTGTGGCAGCCACCTACCTACAATCCCAGCTACTTCAGAGGTGACGTAGGAGGAGTGCAAATTCAAGGCCAGCCTGAGCAACTCAGTGAGACTCTGTCTCAAAGTACAAAAAAAAAAAAAAAAAAAAAAGGGATGGAAGTTCAGTAGTAGAACATCAATTTCTAGTACCAAAACAAACCAATTCAAGGCCAGCCTGAGCAACTCAGTGAGACTCTGTCTCAAAGTACAAAAAAAAAAAAAAAAAAAATAGGGATGAAGTTCAGTAGTAGAACATCAATTTCTAGTACCAAAACAAACCAATACGAAACTAAGAAAAATATGATGATATCAAAATTGAGAACTCTGTTCAATAAAACACAAGTGGCAAGCTGGTACAAGCTGGCAGAAAAATTTTGGAGCCCATATTCTGAAAACCAATATCCAAAATATAAAAATAACACCATAAATCACTAAGAAAAAATCATATAGAAAAAAAAAGAGTCATGAAAAAAACAATTGAGAAGTGAGGAAATGCAAATGACAGAGATAAGCATGAAAAATGTTGAAATTCAGTAAATAGGGAAGTATAGATTAAAATAATTTTTCTCTTAAAATTAGCAAAAATTTAATAAGTTATTATAGTAAGTGTTGGCAAGGATTGGGAAAACTCATCCTTTAATGATAGCATAATTAATAAAAGCTTTTTTGAGGACAATTTGTTAGTGATTATTAAGATATACAATATTCATAGTTTGATTCCCCCTTTTTGGTAAGTACCTTGGAGAAATACTTGCACATGTGCACTAAGAAGCATCTATAAGTTTATTCACTTTAAGACAATTTGAAAAGTACAGAATAAAATATGAAAAAAGAAAATCATCAGCAAACTTCATAGCTAGAGATACTAGCCTTTAATATTTTAGTGTATTTCTTCCCATAAGAGATTTTTAAAAATTATAATTAAGTTGTAAACACTTCCAATGTCATTAACTGTTTTTTAGAAAGATCATTTTAGTGACTGCATATATAATATTCCATTGTATGGCATCACCAAGTGTAAGTTTATTACATCATCTGAAAAGAACACTGTGGAAAATTTTTTGAGATAGGGTCTTGTTATATAATTCAAGCTGACCTTCCTGCCTCAGCCTCCTGGACAGCTGAGACTACAGGTACACACCACTGTGCCCAACTGTGAGGAATACACACACACACACACACACACACACACACACACACACATAAATTTTTTTAAGACAGGGTCTCACTAAGTTGCTTAGGGCCTCACTAAATTGCTGAGGTTGACTTTGAACTTGCAATCCTCCTGCCTTGGCCTCCAGAGTTGAGGCATGTGTCACAGAACCTGGCTGGGAAAAATATTTTTATATGGGAATCCATAACACTTCCCAGCTTTTAACACACTTTTGCAGGAAAATATTTATCAGAATGATCTAGGAAGCATATATATTACAAAATATACCCACTGGGGTGTTTTACCACTACTCCCCAGCCAAGAAAGAATTCCCCCATTCCCCCAGTGAGAGATTTGATTCAAGCAGAACTGCACTACAAGAAATGTTTTTTTTTTTTTTTTTTTTAAAGGCGGGTAGAGAGGTATTAGTATGCTATAGATGGGTTAGGAATTTTGGATTTCAAAAAGGAATAAAAATACCAGGAGAAATGAATACATTGGGAAATATAAAAGGCATTTTTTAAGTTATGTTAAAAGGTAAATTACAGCCAGGTGCGGTGTTGCATACCTGTAATCCAGAGGCTCAGGAGGCTGAGGCAGGAGGATTGTGAGTTCAAAGCCAGCCTCAGCAGTGGTGAG